TGCTGTTGGTGCGTTGATGTATGCTATGGTGTGTACTCGACCTGATCTTTCACACGCTGTAAGCATGGTGAGTCGTTATATGCATAATCCTGGTAAAGAGCATTGGCAGGCTGTAAAATGGATTCTTAGGTACATTCTTGGCACTATTGATGTTGGTATTAAGTTTCAAAAACAAGAAATGTTTAATCTTGACAATCGTGTAGTTGGTTATGTGGATTCTGATTATGCTGGTGATTTGGATAAGCGACGATCTACTACGGGTTATTTATTTACTATGGCTGGTGGACCTGTTTGTTGGCGTTCAACATTGCAGTCTACTGTTGCATTGTCTACCACTGAAGCAGAGTATATGGCAGTAACAGAAGCTTTTAAAGAAGCTATTTGGATGCATGGTTTGATCAATGACTTGGGTATTTTGCAGGAACATATAGATGTATTTTGTGATAGCCAGAGCGCTATTTGCTTGTCAAAAAATCAAGTCCATCATGCTCGTACAAAACACATTGATGTCCGTTTTCACTTTATTCGAGAAATTATTAGCAAAGGGGATATTCGGTTATTAAAAATTGGAACTGCTGATAACCCTGCTGATATGTTGACAAAGGTGATCACTCGTGAAAAGTTCTGGCATTGTTTAGATTTCATCAACGTCGGAAGGGAGTAGTGTGTTGACATGGTAGCAACCAAATTAGCTATCAACTTGGAGATCTTATGACAAGGTGGAGATTGTTGAACACTGTCATAAGTCCTATTCTCTAGGACCAAGACCTACTCTCAAGGTCTTTTTTTGGCTTGTTAGTTTATCTTTAGGTTTAGCAGAAGGCTATATAATGCCATTCTTTCTGCTGTTGAAATCATTAAGTTTTGAGTGTCATATTGTATGTCTGGAGTAACTTTGGTGTTGTGAGTACATTTGTTCCGCTTTCGGCGCACAACAGTACATGCTCTCCTTCTCCCTCCGTTCAGCAACTCTGCTAACTTATTCTAAAGTTGTTGGGAGAGGAGTCCTAGATTGATCACGGGTTTATAAGTAAGGAATACGTCTCGTGGGGCTTTTTGGAAAAACTAAGAGTAAAAACATGAGAGCTTATACTCAAAGTAAACAGTATCATACTATTGTGGAGAGTCATGGTTCTAACATGGTATTAAAGCCATGCTCTTCAACTTAGTCATGTTAATAGAATGTTCAAATATCGAACAAAGAGTGTACTTTGTTCGAGGGCTCCATAGGCCTCAGCAGAGGCTCTATGGTGTACTTTGTTCGAGGAGATAGTTGTTGAGAGAGGAGTCTACATTGGCTAGTTAAGGGGTTGATCACGGGTTTATAAGAAATACATTTCCATTGGTATGACCAAATGTAAAACCAAGAGAACTTATACTTAAAGTGAACAATATCATACTATAGCGGAGGTTCGTTATTCTTAACAAAAAAAAAAATTGATCCCCGTAACAAAGTAGCGTAAAAATGACAGTATATGTCACATGGGGTTGGGTTTTCGTCTCGCCAAAACACTGGTGGAACACAGAATTCTTTCCTGCCAAAAACGATAGGAATCCACACATTGGTCGAATGGGAAGATTTTGGAGAATATTGAATGGTCGGTAAAGGCAAGTGGACTGTAGAACAGTGATGTGATGTGAGAGAAAAGTTCCAATTGTTTTGAAACAAAACAAAAGAACAGTGTTTCTGAAGGAAATAAAAACTTGAAATGATGATGCGATGATAGTAATACTAGTAAGCAAGTTTGACTATCTTCTTCCCAATATTATTGCCTTGGAACAATCCGATGAAAGATGCAGGAATGCTGTCCACACCCCACTGATATGTCTTCGACAGCCTTAATCTTGCCGGAGCGAAGGTAGCCAACGGTCTTGGATATGAAATCTGGAAAAACATCCCAATAATCAATCACCAAAAATCCTTGGATTGTGATCCTTCTGTATACAATGTCCAACATGTTTGGGCCCTCTCGTTTTGCTGATTTTGTGTACTCTGAAATAACACCGCACGCAGCCACTTTTCCAAATGGCTTCATGTTTGCAATGGCTGCCTCTAGCATCTCGTCGCCCACGTTGTCAAAGTAAGTATGAATTCCTTGGGGGAAGTACCTGCACAATGATTCTACTGTTCTGAATGTGTTGGGTATTTTTAGTGTTCAAATGAATGGAAGAACTGAGATTTTTCCCACTTGGCTATGGTGGATTTCAAATCTTTTTGTTGCTTGTAGTTGAATGCTTCGTCAAAGCCAAGCTTCTCTTTCAGCAATGCCACCTGCCATTAGAGTTAGCTAAATTTTCAAAACAAAAACTATTTTCTCTATCTCATCTTCCACTGATCAAAAAGTTAACGATGGGAAGCAAAATTAATCAATCACGAAGAAGTATGGTTAATATTGATTGTTTGTGAAAAGTTGGACCTTTTGATCAGAACCAGCACAGCCAACAACATAGCAACCATGCAGCTTAGCAAACTGTCCAACTAAATTCCCAACAGAGCCAGATGCTGCAGACACAAACACTTTGTCCCCTTCCTTAACCTTCCCTACTTCAAACAGACCAGTGTAGGCAGTGTGGCCACTCATCCCTGATCAACCACAAAAGGAAAATAAGTGTTTCTTCATAGTATATTATATTCTTCCAAACTGTTTTAAAGCTTTTCTTTTTTTTACTTAAAAACGGTCTAAAAGTGTAATGATTCAAGCCCATCGCTAGCAGATATGGTAGATTTCACTTCAAGGTTTTGAAACACGTTCCCTAGGGACAAGTTTCCACACTTTATAAGAAATGTTTCATTCCACTCTCCAACCGACCTGGGATCTCACATCCCACCCCCTTGGGGGCCATTGTCCTCACTATCACATCGCCCGGTGTCTGGTTCTGATACCATTTATAATGGCCCAAGCCCACCACTAGCAAATATTGTTCTCGTTAGGCTTTCCCTTAAGGTTTTAAAACACGCCTACTAGAGAGAGGTTTCCACGCCTTATAAGGAATATAGATCTTACAAAAATTGATTCCAAACCAGCCATACAACTCACCTAAAATTCCTAGATAGTATGTTAAGGGAAATCCCAAAGTATCCAACTTTATTAAGAGTGCATTCTTCAGCTTTAACAACCCTGAATTCCGCCCAATGTATGAATTCCTTATTAGACGAACACGACTCTCCACAATGGTATGATATTGTCCGCTCTCATGGCTTTGCTTTGGGCTTCTCCAAAAGGCCTCATACCAATGGAGTTAGTAATCCTTACTTATAAACCCATGACCATTCCCTAAATTAGCCAACGTGGGACTTCCATCATCCAACGCCCCTTAACCAAGTCCCCCTTTTCAAATTCAGAGTCGCTTGAACCCACAACTTCTGCTACACCATCAGCACTAATCGCCTGTTCCAAACAAACCCAAAAGCCACCAAAACACAAACATAATCTCAAGACATATACCAACTGTCCAAAGGTAAAAACTTTGAATACTTACCTGTCCAGGAGTGATAAAATGAATGGCAGATGAAACTGCATGCGAAGAGCTGTGGAGCTTCATACGGTTGATCTGATATGGGTCAATGGAAACACACAGATTCTTTAGGACAATATGGCCGGGGTTTACAGAGATGAAGAGGTTGGGATTTAAGCTCAAAATCTGAGGCATGTGGGAAGCCATCGATAGGGTGTTTTATTGTAACAAAGGTGTTAATCACTTGTTCCTCCATGAATTAGAGTGTCCTGATATTTCAGAGCAGAGGGGAAGAGATAAATATAGGTGCCGCAATGACAAAAGGGTGTGAGCCGTAGAAGAGGATCCATAGATATACTCTGCATAAAACGAAGAAATGGTATCTCAATTATTAGTGTCATCATTTTCCCTACGGTCCACCTTTTGGACCCCAAACCTTCACATATCTCTATCATCATACGTTCAAATTATCATTGTTGGCTTAAGTATACTCACAACTTTAAATTTAAGATAATTTTTCCAACCAATTTTCTCTAGATGCTGCATAATACATCTTTAATCTTCAAACAAACATCATTTAAGTGGCAACTCAAGTTTTTAATATACACTTGATATTGAGGTTATGTATGGTCAAAAACATAGTTATACTAAAAGAAAATTGGTAGTTAGCTACCAATTTTCATCATGCAACTAAAAGTCGTCCTATCCACTAGTAAACTGACAAGTTAGTCGTCCTATCCACATTGGTTGGAGAAAGGAATGAAGCATTCCTTATCAGGGTGTGAAAACTTCTCCTTAGTAGACGCGTTTTAAAACTGTGAAGCTGACAACGATACGTAATTGGCCAAATCAAACCATATCTATTAGCTTTGAGTTTAGACTATTAAAGGTTTACGTAGTCTAGGTAGAGTCGTAAGAAAGGTTGTGCTTGTTGGAAGGGATAAGGTTAAGGATGTGATTGAAGTAGGAGTATATCTCACACGGTAATGTAGGTGTCCAACTTAGCCCCAAAGCTGAAAATAACAATCAATATTGAAACTTGGCAACATTTTCGTCTTCCTACACGTTGAAAATGGTGTGTAATAAATTATGGGACCAATGTATCTAAAAGACCACTTGTAACACTAGAGAAAAATAAAAAATAAAAAATAATCCGTCAAAAGTCAACATAGGGATAAAAAGGTCATTTTGTGGGCTTCTCTTCTAAGCTCTCCTCAAGGTTTTGAAAAACGTCTGCTACATAGAGGTTTCCATCCTACTAAAGAATGTTTCGTTCCTTTCTCCAACAGATGTGAGATCTCACACATACTGTATCAATATAGCATACACTTTGCTCCGTAGACATCTATAGATTTAAAAAACCTCACTTTTACAAACCAAACGACCTATATTGTCCACAATCGAGCAAGATAGAACTGGTATGCCCTCCAATCTACAACTTTCATAGCATTAGCTATCCATTGAGTGAAAATTAAGTATCAAAATTGTTCTCAGTAGCTTTCTTTCTCCAAAATGTAAATATAAGAAATGGGAAAGCAAAAATGAACATGCGATTTTATGGTATCCCTTTCATTATCTCAAGAAATTTTTGTTTGCTAACTTAACTATAAGCAAAACTTGTTGATCGCAGAACAGCCAAAATATATACAAAATATCAATTAGGACTCAAAGGCTTCAAAACCTCTGGCTTGATTGGGTCTACTCCAATGAGAATTCTTCAAGCCATATTAGAACCTCATTTCTCTGCCAACAAAACCCCAAATAAGTGCTTATTTATATGGAACAGATAACCTTAAAATCTGTCCTTCAACTCAATATGTGATCAAACAATGTCAAGCCATAACTAGAACAACATATGATGGAAAGGAAAATGGAGTTGGGACTTACCATTATAAAGTTCCATGTTCGTCCAGGGTCGTTATACCGAGCAAGCAAACAGCCGTTACCGGGTTTGAGACCATCCTTTATGAGACTAGACCGCAACTCTTTGGCCTTCTCTTGCACAATCTCTTCGGTAGGTTTTCCACTGAATTTCAACACTGCAGCAGTTCCTCCTTCAACCTTTCTCAAGCCAATTGTGTCTTGTTCAGGATCTGGTAAACTGAACAAAGTGAAGTGATGATGTTCATTAATAGCTTAGCAGCATTATTAATGGTTTGAGTTTGACTACAACTTCATGTGTTCAGTTCTTCCATAGTTTCATTTCAAGGGATTTGAAGAGGGATCAGTTAACCACACCTGTATAGATCTTTCTCTGAAGGAAGAACAATTTGAATGGAGACTTTGGGTGATTCTGAATCAAATGTTTGGGTGAATACAGGAGTTGTCATGGGTATCTTCTCCTTTGCAGAGTTTTTCCCAAATATATACCTGTGTTTATTGAATCACAGTGTATCATCCACAACAACAAGAATTATACTTCTATTACAAAAAAATGTAGGACTTTATAGGTGCTGTGCTGCAGTGTCCCAAAATATTGCTAAAGTGAGTTCGGAATACCTTCTAAAATCACTGAGAAAGGTAATTCAAACGTGGCCCGACTAAAGGAAAAGAGGAAGACTGTAACAGCCCAAGCCTACCGCTAGCAGATATTGTCTACTCTGGGCTTTCCCTTTCAGCCTTCCCATCAAGGTTTTTAAAACGTGTTTGCTAGGGAAAGGTTTTCACACTCTTATAAAAAATGATTCGTTCCCCTCTCCAACCAATGTAAGATCTCATAATCCACCCCTTCGGAGCTCAACGTCCTCGCTGGCACTCGTTACCCTCTTCAATCAATGTGGGATCTCACAATCCACCCTTCTTCAGGACCCAGCGTTCTCGCTGGCACAACACCCAGTGTCTGGCTTTGATACTATTTGTAACAGCCTAAGCCCACTGCTAGCCGATAATGTCCTCTTTGAGCTTTCCATTTCAGGGTTCCCCTCAAAGTTTTTAAACGCATCTGCTAAGAAGAGGTTTCCACACCCTTATAAAAAATGTTTCATTCCCTTCTCCAACCAGTGTGAGATCTCACAATCCACCCTTTCGGAGCCCTGCGTCCTCGCTGGCACTCGTTACCCTCTCCAACCAATGTAGGATCTCACAAAGACTTACCCAGCAACTGCATTGAATCCAGCAGACCCAGCGAGTTTATCTCCACTTGTTTCAACAACAATAAATGGTGCATATTTCCTCACCTGAAGAAAACATTTACATTGAATCATGAAACAGAGATAGAAGGTTCCTATAAAGATCATGAAACAGAGAAAAGAGAAGTAGAAAACAAACCTCATAATTAGTAGTCCTTTTCAGTATCTCATACTTGGGTGATTCCAATTCTGGAGTCTTATAAAATCGAAGCTAAAGAGACAAAAAAAAAAAACATCAGAAGCCTCTTGTAGATGATTTTCATCATATTATAACGAGAATACCTGCTTAAATACATCCAACAACCCTTCTACAGAAAAGTAGTCGTTATTCTGTATTGAATCCCAGAGATCCTACGATACAAAAGGATGAGATGGGCTTGAATACAATTTCATAACTCAGCCACAAATTTTGTAATTCACTTTCAAAGTAAAGGAGAATGTTACCACATGACTACAGAACTTGCCCGTCTCTGGATTGATACCCATGATGGAATTTCCCGTGAAAACTAATTGTGGTTTCCATGGCAGAAGAACAAACTTCATTACCATAGTCCATCTTGTAGTTATTTCATAAGCTCCTGTCTAGAGCGACTCAATCAGTGAGATTAATATTCAAAACCAGCTCTATGAAATCACTATACAAGAATACAATATAGCGTTCTAGATTGAACTCCCAGATCCAACTAATGAGTAATGATGGAAATTGATTATAATGTGCGAGAAATTGAAGAGGATCGAACCTTTTTAACCCAGTGCAATAAGAACTCAGGCCTGAAGAGTTCTCGCAAGAGGGAAATATTGAACAAATACCCAGTAATCGTATCGTGCTTGGTAATGGGGTCCCGAAATCTCACTTGATCGTCATACGCCGTTCGATCAATCCCCTGTTCATCGAAGAGATGGGGAAGATCTTCGTATAAGAAATCCACCAATTGGTCCACATCGACCGTCGATTTTGGTGGGTTTTGATCGACCAAGCTTAATCGAACGACCCACTTGGAATTTCGGGTATGGGGTTTAGAAGGTACTGTTCTGCTTCGGGTGATTAGTCTGCCAGAATTGGGCGGTCGGAAACCGAAACCGAGTGATGGGGTTGAGACTGCAAGAGAGTTTTGGAGGGAAAATTGAAGAGCGGCCATTTGAGCCACAACCGGCGAACTGCCATTGGGGAGGTGGGATTATTTGGAGGCTGAAGACGAGGGGGCGAGTGAATGGCTAGTCTTTGGTGAGAATTTTGTGGTGCAGAATCAGCCAAATCATATTAACAATCTACGTGTTCAAATCTGGGCCATCATTCTATGAACCAAAAATAAGAGATATTCAGATTCAGCTCTTCCGTGGACGTGTTTCTGTGTTTTTCCAACACTTTTCAAAGTCAAAACAACAATTTCCACAAAGTATTTGCATGTTTTATAAACTTGATCAACTCTTCTACTTATCACCTGAAAGTTCCAATTTTTATTTTCATTTAATATTCTTTTAAATTTGCTTTACTTTCAAATTAGTGTGCAATTGTTTTTAATTACTTTAGAAGATGCTCGTGGACTAAAGAAATATATCTCTATTATTATTACTATGAGCTTAGGATCAGAGTGGACAATATCATAAGCCATAAGTTGATTAAATTTTCTTATTATTAAATTTTCTTATTATTTGAAAGTTAGGTGATAAATGAAACTTTAAATATTTTTGGAATATAAAAAATTTTCTTATTATTTGAGTTTTTACTTTTGGGCTTCCCTCAAGGTTTTAAAACGGGGCTGTTAGGAAGACATTTTCACACCCTTTATAACAACTATTTCGTTTTCCTCTCCAACCGATATGAAATCTCACATTTTTAATCTACTTCGATTTCGAATAAGTTTTAACTATCTCGTATATATATAAGATGCAAGTGGACAAATATTATAAAAGAATGTTGAGATTAGAATTTTTAAAGATTGTAACATGACCAGAGTAAACGCTACGATGTAGACAAAACAAGAAAGCATTAGAAAGTATCGAACCATACCGAACCACATGAGGTGAGTAGTGAAGAGGTTTGACGTTGGAGTGCCCCCACTATAAGGTGAGTGAAGAGGAAGAATGAGAATTGGATAAGCATCAAAATAATCCTTACACATACACAATACAACATGTGATTAAATTCAACCCACTTTTCTCCAACCGTGGTTAAGATGAATCTTAAATTTTTTCCACTCAAACAATTTTATTAAATAATTATTTCATTTCAACTCAAACATAAAATAGGATTGTTTGAGGTGTGTATGTCGTTTATTTAATTCATATGATTGATTTGAAACTAATGAATTAGCTAATCTCATAATTTTTATTTATTTGAACTCAACTTAATTCAAACAAGTTAATAACTCAACCCAAATCGTACTAATTAAGTTAGGTTAATCGAATTTATGTAAGAATAAATTGATTGTAAGCCACATTCAGATGGTAGCGAAGATTCTTATAAAATTAGAACGTGACTTTGGTTGAGCATCTAAGCATCTATCTTTTTGAAGCCCACATTCCTATTTAGTAATGTGTTCTCATAATGTACACACCCATCTCTATAAATAAAATTGGATTCTCCCTCAAAAAAAAGAAAGAAAAAAAAACCAATAAATTAAGTAAATTTACTTAACATCACATATGATTAAATGTAGTCATAATGTGGAGATTCCTATATGTTGCCAAAATTTTAATTCATATAAATAATTAAGAATTAAGTGCAGATTAAAACTCGAGCAAAATAAATTTGAAAACCCATTTTAAAAATTATTCTTAAATTTTTTATTAAAAAAAACAACAAATTATATAAAGGTCAATTTTGTGCGAAGTTGGAATAAAATTGAAATAGTGGGTTTTTATTATTATTATTTATTTTTAATTACTCATTTGAATAATAATAATAATAATAATAATATGTTTGGGATCCCAACGCCCTCCTGCTTATATAAAGCATGAAGATTGGGTTGCCATTGTCATGAACTCGGCTTTGCTTTACTTTGGCTCGTGTCTTTTTGCTTTACTTTGGCTCGTGTCTTTTTGCTTTACTACTTTGGCTCGTGTCTTTTTGCTTTACTTTGGCTCGTGTCTTTTTACCTCATCCCATCTCATTTCTTACACAAAATGTCTCCCGTTTCAAAGCTCTTCCACTCCAGTTGCAACAACCATGGAGATAGTAACAATGGCGGCAAGAACTATCTCGACCCACCCGCGCCTCCGCCCCTTCCTCCACCTGCCGCCGATGTAATTGGCGGCGGAGGCATCGTTGCAGATCATGACTTTGCCCCTGCTGCATGAACAACAAAGAGAAAGAGGTTGAGTATAACATTACTGCAAGTTTTGCCGATAGGCTTAAACCGACGATAATAACTAGCTAGCTTCGAATCGGTAGTGGTGCGCTTTCTTTTTATATACATATTTTCTTTTGGAGCTCGATCGTATATATTTTGACCAATTGAGTCTGGTTCAAGTTCGATAACGTATCTGTTATTGACATAATAATATGTTAGTATTAAATTATATATCATAACGTAACAAAAAAAAAAAAAAATGGTGTTTATTTTCATTTAATTGTATGAATGCATGTGTTGAGTAAGTTTTAGTTGAAGGCACCAACCTTAATCAATCCAACTTGTCGATGATCAATGAGTTCATGACTAAATAATTTTATAATTAAAAAATTAAAAAAAATCAAGAATAAAATAGAATTTAAATATAAAAATAAAACAATTTTGTTGATGGTAAACATTTCCCTGGTAAAAAATAGGAGGTAATGTTTGACATAGGTAAAAAATGAAAGGAATAGACCAATCATAAAATTCGAGAATGGGAATAGATCAAATCAACGTCAACGTCAACATCACGTGGGGCTGAATGAATGATTTAGATTCAAGCACACGCACACGTGACTATCATGGATGGTTTTTTTTTTTTTTTATCAATTGTGATGCTGTAATTATCTATCATATTCTTATCCAAAGTATTTATTTAAAAAAATAAAGAATTATGTATCATTTTCTCAAGCATCCATAGAATAAATGTTGTTTTAATTTCTTTTAATAAACACACATATATATGTATGATATTTACATTAGATTTTTATTTGAAATATACTATTTTAATAAACCAACTTAGAGTTTAGAAGGTCGAAATGAAAATTACTTGACTAAATTGTTTTATTGGTATATAGACTAAATTGTTTGATAACGTATTTGTTCAAGTTAAAAATGTTATGGTTAAGCCAATATCGAATTGTCAAATATTTTAGTCTATAAGATATTAACAAAAAATATGAACGTAAATATTAAATGTAGTGATATGGTAACTATTATTTTAATTCGTAAAGCGTTTGTATCTATTTAAATATATTCTTTAACTTTTTAAAAAAATTAATAATAATAATGACGGTGGATATTGACCTTTTATTTTCCTCAACGTTTTGATAAATTTTGGTTCTCAAGAGCTGGAGCAGTATGTTTCCCTATAATTGTCTGGCTCACCAAATCGGGCTTGGCCCAATTCATTTGGGCCTCAACGCATGGGCTTTTGAATACTATATTAACTATTTACTTTTTAAAAAAAAAATCTAAAAAGTTTATTACAAATGAATTTGAAATTCGACTATTAATATTGATCCAATAAAAAAAAACAATAAATTTGGAGATGTAAGCGACCTTACTGTGACGTCAAATTCAAACATTATCATTTTTTTAACATTATTATAATGTTAAAGGTATTTTTGAACTTTTTTTTTTAGATTAAATTATAAATTTAGTAATAAATTTTAAATAAAATAAAAAATATATATAAATAGAGAGAGTTGGGGTTTTTAGATCTGATAGTGAGAAAGAAGAAGATGTGTGCATATTTGATCCTGTGGACCAGAGGCAATGGATTAGACAGAAGCACCCATGTGCCATTTCAACCCTCTGCACATGCCCCCACTCAAAAACCTTCCTCCAACCTTCCACATTTAAATCTCACCCCATTCTTTTCTTTTTATTTTTTTATTTTTCAATTATAAAATCCAAAATAATATAAATAACACACTACGTCCACGTAAGCAGTTTACCAAATCAACATTGATCCTACGTGGGGTGACAGGCAGGTCGTCAAAAAATGAAAAATCGTGCTGTTTTTGGGGACTATGCATGGCATGCAACCGTCCCTAATTCCCATGCACTCCCTCCCTTTTATTCTTTGACCACTTCTTCCATTTAAATATTTATTCCAATTTTTCATTAAAATTATGGTCACCAATTTACATTACAACCATTTTTCCAGCATCGGGATATGAGAAAAACATTATTTTAAATACAAATCATTCTTATTTTGCGTGTACCCTATACTCATCTCTTAGCATCGGTATTATCACTTCACTTCCACCTCTCTCTCTCTGTTCCATTCACTTTGACCCCTCCATATTGGTCATTCACTCCAAGCCAAGCCAAGCCGAGCCGAGCCATTCCATTATACGTTTCACACAAATACCCCTCAATTTTATTATGCCATACTATATACCAATAATTATTAGATTAATTAAATGAAGCTAGTGGGGCGGGTGTCGCTATCTTTGTCTTAATAATGGTAGTTAATCGATTAATATACTCACTCTTGTGTGTTGCTCTAAATGACGTGGACTGCGACCACTCTATTCAAACATTATTAATCACCCCATGACTACGCCTTAATAATGCGCTGTGTCACCAATGTCTACCTGTCACTTACATCCAGCGTGTATTTTTTATTTTTTTTCTCAACAATTTTATACACCGATTGCTTTCTCTTTATTTTAATCCTATTTGTTACTACACATACTCTTCTTTGTTTCTTTTTTAGTACAAACATTGTAAAAGAAAATTTATTGAAACCTCTGCATTTGGTAATTTGTAATTTCATTCATTTCATAACAGTTTCGTTAAATAACGTAAACATTCAATGCAATATATATTTTATTTTTTTCTACAATAATATTTAAACAATTTTAAATATTAATGGTTTTAAATTGTTTTTCTTTTCCATCCACGTGTGTCTAACTGCCGGTTGCATAGAGATTCTGTTTGGGGGATTTTTTTTTTTCTTTTTCAAAACAATCGATATATTTTTTTATTACAAACAAAAGTACTTTGTGTATATTATTATTTATTCCTCGCTTTTCAACGGATATTCCGTATTTAATCGTATATTTAGATGGATTTACGACACACAATAAAATTACATAAATTATGCTAACTTATCTACCAACTGATGAGACCAATTTGAGCATAATTTTTTTAAAAAAGATGGATATAATTTTAGTTCTTATCCACGTTGGAATGGCTGGTTATTTTCAGCTCCATACATTTTATGGAAAGTGTGGTAGGTTTGAATCTGGGATTTAATTTTTTTTATTACAAAAATAGTTTTGGAAATAAAAATAAAATTGATTTTGATGAGCGTGTTAAGTAAAAAACTGGTTATTTTTTGAACTTCCAATTTCCCACGACTGTTGTTAAATTCTGAGATGCACCGCCTCTGTGTCTCTGTTTCTAAAATCCTTTTCGTCCTCTCCCATTCAGCCATCGCTTTTCACTCTCTCCCTCACTCTCCTAATTTAACAGACCTCCATTGTTTCAATTCTATACGGCCATGGTCAACTTAACATCCCAAATCCCCTTTTCGTGATTCCTTCTTCTTCTTCAACAACCAATCCATCTCTCTCTGTCTCTCTCTCTCTGTTTGTTAATCAATTTAATGGCCCCTTTCGACTCCGCCGCCTCCTCTGGTACCAGCAGCAGCGGCAGCTCCTCCTCTTCCTCCTCCACCGTCACCAAACCCCAGGACATCGATGGCCTCCTCGCCGGCGCAGGGTATAAAGTTCGCGCCTCCGACCTTCACCACGTCGCTCAACGCCTCGAACGCCTTGAATCCGCCATGGTTAACTCTTCCTCCGAGATCTCTCAACTCGCCTCAGGGACTGTCCATTACAATCCTTCCGACATCGCGTCTTGGGTCGATTCCATTCTCTCCGAGTTGAATCAAACCACCTCGTTGCCGTCCGATATCCTCGATTTCCCTGATCTTATTCCCGGTTCTAATCAGACGGCTGGAAATGTCTCCTGGACCGATCCTTGTGTTGCTGCGCAACACCAGAATTTATCTCACAATCAACTTACCGTCGTGACCGCTATGGAGGAGGATTCCGGTATAAAGCTCGTTCACATGCTCGTTACGTGTGCCGATTCAATTCACCGTGGTGATTTCCCATTGGCTGGTTCTCTGATTGTCGAAATGCAGAGTTTGCTCTCTGGCATCAACACCGATTGCGGCATCGGAAAAGTCGCTGGTTACTTCATCGACGCGCTCACTCGGCGCGTGTTTACACCGCATGACACAACCATTACCACCACCGGCTACGAAAACGAGCTTTTATATCACCATTATTACGAAGCTTGCCCTTACCTTAAATTCGCGCATTTCACCGCTAATCAAGCGATTTTAGAAGCCTTCGACGGTCACGATTGTGTCCACGTCATCGATTTCAATCTAATGCACGGCTTACAATGGCCGGCATTAATCCAAGCCCTCGCTCTCCGCCCTGGCGGCCCTCCTCTTCTTCGTTTAACCGGCATTGGCCCACCATCTTCTGACGGCCGTGACTCGCTTCGTGAAATCGGATTGCGGCTCGCCGAGTTGGCCCGGTCGGTGAACGTTCGGTTCGCCTTCCGCGGCGTGTCAGCGTCGAGGCTGGAAGATGTGAAGCCGTGGATGCTTCAAGTGAATCCAAAGGAGACGGTGGCGGTGAACTCTATTATGCAGCTCCACCGGCTACTGGGAAACAACAACCGGTCCTCCTCCGCCATGGAAATGGTTCTGGGATGGATCCGGAGTTTGAACCCGAAGATCGTTACAGTAGTGGAGCAAGAAGCCGACCACAACCAGACCGGGTTCTTGGATCGGTTCACAGAGGCGCTATTTTACTACTCCACCATGTTCGATTCGCTTGAAGCTTGCTGTATGATGCCGGAGAAGGCTCTAGCGGAGATGTATCTACAGAGGGAGATTTGCAACGTGGTGAGCTGTGAAGGACCAGCTCGAGTGGAGCGCCATGAGCCGCTTGTCAAGTGGAGATTTCGGCTCCGACAAGCCGGTTTTAGAGCCCTCCATTTGGGATCCAACGCCTTCAAACAAGCCAGTATGCTGCTAACGCTCTTCTCCGCAGAGGGATTCTCCGTGGAGGAAAACGAAGGGTGTTTAACGCTCGGGTGGCACAGCCGCCCTCTCATCGCGGCTTCGGCTTGGCAGGCCGCCCCGCCGCCGGATGCAACTGCAAATCATCCATTCGGAGGAACAGTATAAAATAAAATTAATAATAATGTAAAATTCTTTTTTTTTCTTTTTTTTCTTTTTTAATTCCAATCGAACCCAAAAAAGAAAAACAGAGAAAAAAAAATGGTAGTTCCATCCATCAGACTGCATTAAATTTGAATATAAAGAGTCAATGATATGGACGTTGGATCTAATCTTGTAATTCTTAATGTGTGGTTTAGCTTTACCCATCAAAAGGTTTTAATTATTAATCCCTAATTACTCCTTTTGCCTATCCCTAATCCCCCGTTCATTTACCAATTCCTCCATATGTTACATTTAATTTCTGGTCCATTAAATAAATATTTAATGAAGAATTAATTCAAAATTAATGTGAAGTGCCTCTTCCGTTTTTATTTATTTAAAATAAATAAAATGAAATATGTTAAGGTTGGTATTAGGAGCAGCGAGGCCTACCCTAATTACTGCCTTATTTATATGTTCCTTTAACAGGGACAAGTTGAATGTTATCCGTACGTTTCACCCACTTCTTTTATTATTCTTTCAAATCCATTATCTTGTTTTCTTTATTACATAAATATAATCATATTTCCAAAATTCAACTCACAGTTAACGTGTTGTGAAATTAAGAGCTGGTAATTAGTAATTTATGGCAGAAATGGAAGAGGTTTGGTTGAAAAAAATAGGAAATACAGGGGATGAAAATGGAATAAAAGAAAAGGGAGAGGGGCAATGGAAAAGAGAAGAGATGGAGGAGGACGAAAATGCAAAAAACAGGAAAAAGAAAGAAACAGAGTTGTGGGGTTGTGTTTTGGGGAAAGGAGACCCAGGAGGGGGTGATTGGAATAGGGTGGCATGTGGGATTGCCCGACACTAAAGGAAGAAACGGACTCGCCCAACGTCGCCAAAACGGGACCCCCACTACCTGGCTGGTTGGCTGAATCAAAATAATTTATAACTTTCTTTAAAGCTGTTTGAGCCGTGAGTTTAAAATTTTAAGTAACAAGCCCGCCGCTAAACCTACCTATGCTCCCTTACTCAAATTCGGTACCCTCTATTATTTTTCTCTTCATTTTTTTTTTCTTTTAATAATCATGGTGGTGGGTTCCACCCTTTCTCTTTCCATTTTTCCATAATAATAGTTGGTCCTACTCCTTTTCTCTTTTATCTCTCTAAATAACTTTTTAAATTTAACAATTACATACATTTACCTTTTATTTTTATATATAATTCATTTTAAAGTTTGAATTTCGTACCGTTTGTTTCCTTAAAAAATTGATATTAATTAGCTTAATATATATACATTCCCTGTAATTTTGCGGGTCCCATTACTTCAGTAATTTACGGTTATGGTTAAAGGGATTATGAGTCACGTGAGAGAGAGAGAGAGAGAGAGAGAGAGAGTGTGTGTGGGTGAGGGTGCAGGTGTAAGGCAGATGCAGCAACAGCTAGGGCGTGCTGTGCGAACTGTGGCATCACCTCAGCTGGCCTGTCCATGGGCCGTCCCTTTACTGACTCAACTTGTGCTGTTGTGCAGTATAATTTGGGCCCCTCCAAAGTGTTTGATCAAATAAATGTCTAAAAGAAGGGCGTTTTCTTTGTTTTTTTTGGTACACTAAATTACTCCTTTTTCTTCTTCAAACTTCCACAACCACTCCCTCTCCTCATCATTCTTTCTCTCAATCACAATTTTATTCTTTTTTTTCTTTTTCTTTCAATGAAATTTAACAAAATTGAAACTGGAGATGGCTAAGGAAACAAGCTTCCGCAAGTCGAGGAAATTAAGCCGATGAAAAAGCGGGTCAATCCGGAAGAATCCGGACCCAGTAGACCCGATATGTGGCCTACCATTCCCTAATTTCACGTGATCCCGTTCTGCGTGCTGACTAAGTCGGAAAATCCCATGGCCCACATTCAAAAATATTTCCCAGGGGACCACCTTTACCTCTGCATCGACCGCCACATTCACGTCTCACTTATCTCCCACGTGGACAGCGATATTACCCCTCCTCCTTTCTTTTTTATTATTATTTTTTCCACCTCACCCTTCTTTTTCTTTTAAATCCTTTTAATTAATATTTATTCATAATTTTTTACCTGGTCCGTCCCTCGTGGGTCAATCTTCCGTGAGAGAGACCTGTCGTAGTCTCCGGCCCATCATTTCGGATAGGATCCTCTGCGGACTAGACTAGGGAAACAGCCTCTGGTCCGTCCTTCTGCCAATCTTATCTTACACACATATTTATAATTAAATTACATTTTACCTCCCAAACTTCTAAATTTAATTTCTATATTTTATAAATATAAATTTATTCACCACTAATTCACTAAATTTAAATATTTAAAAGTAAAGACCCTTTAGTGCCAATTTTAATTTTGTTTAATCAAAACAACCGTGATTCAACTTTTCACCAAATCACACCTTTGGATGTCATAAATTACGTGGGTGAAATCCATAATCAAGATTTTCTTATATTATTATTAATTTTAATCATCGGGTCTACTTTTTTTAAATAAATATAGCCACCTTCCTTCACCGTCTTCCCGCCTTTTCAGTTTAAATTATTCCCGTTCTTTATTCAAATTTCAAACACACTTTACTTATGTCTTAATTCAGTATCATGTTTTAAGTTGAAAAGACATTAATACTTAAAAAAAAGTGTTAATCTTATCCTATACTAAAATATTACTTAAATATTTATTTCAATTTGGTATAGAAAAGTAGGCGCCATGAATAATTAAATTAATTTGAAATTTCATATAATCAAATAAAGTTGTTGAATAATCACAATATAGACATACTTTATAGCATATCTTACCATATGGTAAGAGAAATCAAGGTGATACTCTTGATATATAATAATTTTATTTATTATATTTTTTCTTCTGCCTACTTATCTACTCAAATTATTGTACCCTCAAATAAAATAATAATTAGTATATTATAAAATTGCTTAATAAATCTCTGTACATGTACATTAAGTCAAAAGAAGAACATAACCACTAAAGATATCTACTTTTAAGCTGAAAAGTCAAAGATTGCACACGAGAATAATAATCATTATGATAATAATTAGATAAAAATACATATTATTAAACAAAATTTGATTACCTTTATTGCCTAACAATTTAAGTGATCCTTTTTTTAAATATAAATTTTATAATTAGTGTTTTTTTTTTCCCTTCAAAATATCAATTTTGTTTCGATACTTTTCAAAATAAATAAATAAATAAATAAATAATGGGGTTAAATTTGAAATTGCTGTTCATTACGACTTGTTTGGGGCTGGAGGCCCTGCAAGTCCCAATCAAATTCAGGGTCAAGGCGTTAGGGCGGCAATGCTTGAAAATTTTCAACGGAAGGAGAAGGAGTCAACGATCCCCATCAAATCAACCGCGAAAGTCGAAGAGAGGCGAATTCAAAATCGGTAAACTTGGTCAAAATTTTTCATTGCTCAGAAATTTCATAATACATAGATATATATATTTTCGTATATAGTGTGATTGTGAACAAATCGCTTTCCGATTTCTCTCATTCTTGGTTTTTACTCGTGTCAACAATAGAACATCACATTTTTCACTCTCTCTTTCAGTGCAGGCAAAGGCCGGACGCTGGACCCATTTGTGGTTCGAGTGCAGCACCTTTTCGCATTCTCCTGGGCGTCGGGTTCCACGTAGAATCGAGCTCTATACGCCGCTAAATGAGCGTAGTATGCTGGAGGCACTGCATCACACCATAAATGTCATTGTAAGTACTTGATTCTGCAATCCCCGTTTTGTGTCTTTAAATTCAAGTAAAGTAACATAGAAGTAAACAATCAAGATGGGTATGACAACGTTTTCTTAGACTACCATTCTAGCTTAATTATACCAAAATCTACCAGAAACTGGAAAAATTGGAACAGATGGTATTGTCAAGGAATTACCTACTGAGACTGATCTTGTGCACCGAGCATATCTGTAGGAAAGTTAATGGTTTATAGTTTAAACAAATAGTAGAAAAAAAGCTGTATTGGGAAATTTTGTGAAGATAATTTGAGGATCCTTACGTGTAACAGAGGTTATTAGTCAGAGATTGAATGTCATCAGCACTGAAATTATTCTCATCCCAAAGAACATGATAATGAGCGGGACGACTTGTTCCCTGAAAACAAGAAAACCCAAATATAAATTTATCCTTTTGCTGTTAGTGCAAGTTTTGAGCTTCAATATCCCATTTCTAATATTTTGAGTGTTACGTTTTGTCCATTATGATTGTTCTCTTACACCATACCTGGATTCCTGCGTGACTGCATAGATAAAAGTCGAACTCAGTCGGATGACATATCTTTGAATCCACGACGGTACCTACAAATTAAGGACATATGTTGAAAATTCTAAAACAAAAAGTTAAGAGAAGTCCCTTTCTGTAGGACAAAATTTGAAGGCGTTCTGCTATATCTTGCTTGCAAATGTATTACCTGGTAAAATATTACCACTCTTGTCAGTGCTGCTCCTATCACTGTGATTGGATGTGAAAAGTCTGGTATGATGTCGCTTTTGGACAATGATAAAAGTTACTGGAGGTTGGTAACTGGGTTCTAGTGAAGCACAAGCCTATAGAGTGGCCAAAATTTGAATTAAAATATGTCCACCTTGCTTTCTTGGGACAACAGCATAGAAAGCAAGTGAATGTAAGCTTTATAACAGACCTTGCGTATGGCATCAAGTTCGTGCAGTAGAACTTGGTAGAACTGACCCTCACTGACACCATCCCTACAAGCATAAAATGGTACATATATAAATCATAATGCAGCTGCTTCACATGCCCCAATTTTACTCCAAGTGAAGTCTCTCACGTGATTGTTTAACCCCCATATTACCTATAGAATATTATCCTTAATGGTTTTTGTCCAGTGGCCTTCTTAAATGAAAGCAAGAGCTCCCTGCAAAAGAACTAACTTCGTTAGCCCCCAACAGGCAGCTAGGATTAAGCTATTTCATTTCCATTCAATTGTACACTCTCGATTACGCACCTTATCATACCCCCGGCAACTGTGCCGCGATGAGGATCTTTCCATGTTTTGAATAAATCTTGAATCAGTTCTTCTCGGTGAGGCTGAGCACATACCAATCCAGCATATTTTGTAACTTCTGGCCAATCTTGGGAAGCCACAACCTGTATGGCACATGTCAGAGTGGCTCAATCATGAAAACGTGTGAAGGAATTTAAGTAATTGAACATTTTGGAAAAGCTTACGGCAGCTATCGATGGAAGAGAATTCTCTCCAGATTCTGGATGGGTGACATCAGCTCCAAAGATTATTGTTGGTATGTCACTGACTAGTGGAATTCTTGACCGCAAAGCATCTAACAGAACAGTGTTTCTTCCACCCATCTTTATAGAACACAAAAATCAATCCAATATTAGATAAGATTGGTGATTATGTATGGTAGAATTGCGAGGTAAACTATTGAGTAGAGACCTTGACGTTGATCTTAAGTGACACATTCGCCAAATACTGTCTGCTCTTCTTGAAAACATGCTTTGTTAGACAACACTGCGATATCAATCCCAACTCTGTTTCACAGATCCTTTTAAGATCACCTGAATGAAAATTTTACTGCTCTTAGATAAAATAGAAGGTCATATTGCTTTGTTAAAAATGTTGGGAATTTTATAAATATCAGCATCTTCAGGTTGAAGTCATTCAGGTAATGTTGGATGTTTCAGATGATCCAGACCTTTTCTTTTTACACACTGACAGTTAGCTATCCTACAATATATTTTTAACAGCAATAGCTTCTTATACATGAGGATGTTGACTTGAAGGCACTCATAGGTCTTGGACAAGGATTAGATGATCTAAATTATTTCACAGTTATAAGTTTTCGTATCGATATATCACAAGTGAAAACTGATACCATATAAAGAGCCGTTGTTGTCCGGAAGAATGGCTATCAGTAACTCTAACTCCATTCCTTCATGTTTGGTATAAACTGCATTACATACATATTTTAAGGCCTTTTTCACTTGATCTGGTCTTGCGGAGTATATAGGAATTGCAGGATCTGGGTTAAATTCCTGATAGAAAGATCAGCAAAATTATATTAAAGCAAGATAATTGAGAATGCTGGCAATTCTCAATTTATTGAACATACTCAAGAACAGGCAACTGTTTACCATGCCGGAGACTTGGCACATCTGGACCAGCTGTTGACAGAAACCACAAGCTATGCTCTCTTGGACGTTGCGCGAGAAATTGATACAAGCCCAATATCTTACAACACTTCCATTTATTACTTTCTGCAATGGGGGAAGAAAGTAAAATATCCTTCTATGATATACATAATAACACATCGAACATTAGGAAGTGACCAACCTTATTCATCATATTCCATTGACCAACTTGAGGCAGATGTTCCCTTTCTTTTCCCGTGTCATGAAATTTTAGCTAGAGGAAAAAAAAATGAAAATGAGAAATATGTTAAAAGGTGAAGCTGAATCTGATGTGGTATTGATAAATTTAGTTCCCAAGTACCCATGGAGATGGGAGGACTCGTGCTTCAACCGATGTAAGCTTGGTGTCGATGCTGATTCCGAACTCTTTTGCATATGGATCTTCCTCGTATGCATTCTGATGAACAGTCTGAAATGCAGCAAATGATTATTTTATTTTTTCTCTTTGAGTATTCACACAACTAATGTCTTTGCATGGTCCAATACAATGATATATTTAGTAGATTGAAAGAAGAAAAGAAATTATGAACTGGACCTGTAAAATGTCCATTTCTTGATCAGATGGTCTTTGGCATGAAACCTTCAACAAGGAAGCTATTTGCTTTTCATTCAGTCCTTTTGTGTATCTCTGCCCCTTAAGAATCTTACATGCCTGAGGAAAAACATCACATAAACTCTCTGCGGACAAAAGATTCGAGCGTTGAAGGTAACTTGATGGTTAGTTGGCAGAACTGACCTCCATGGGTAGATAGTTCACCTTCTTCTGGTTTCCTACTTGAAGGCAAGGCAAATGTGTGTACTGAATGGTATATCCATACACCTCTTGGAAGTATTCAACTACAGATTTCATGTTCATTTGCTCATCAAGAGGGAAGCTGCGGCAAAACAACTCAATTGAAACAACATCAAAGAGAGAAAGGCAATCTGAAATGCAGAATAAGAGGGAAAGGGCCAAGCTTTTATATACATTAGCTCTCTTGTAGGCTGTGTTGTTAGTCCTGAAATTCGGTATTTCCTTCGCACATTTCCTCTGTGTGTAACTTCAACTTTTACACCTCTGAGCACTTTTTTAATCTTACAAAAAAAGCATCAATACTAGTTCAGAGCAGAAACATTCAAACTCTGATATTATAACCCAAATTTCATGCTCGAGAAGCAAAAAGTATCTAGAAGAATAATGGTACCTTGATACGATCAGCATCAGATAGTGGTCTTGAATACACATCTTTGTTTAAGATTTGAGCAACAAAATCAATGACAGGGATTGCTTCAATGAATGCAGTGGATGACATGTCTGGATATGAGATGCAATTCCCAAAAGAAAACCATAAGAAAAGTCAATTCAGGCAGACAAAACACAGCCAAGTAGAAGCCTAGGAAAAGAAAACTTCGATGCCCACCAATATTTAGTGACAATCCCATTTGAGTAGGTCGGATGCTTTGATAGAAGCCACGCCAAACTTGCAAACCACCCCCAACATGCTGAGGTTTCTTAATGCAAGGAGAGCAAAAGAATCGCCCAACTGATATATATCTATAATTCCAGATTGAAATTCACCACAGTATTGAAAACATAAATGCAGCCAGAACATGAATCCAACAAACTAGGCCCAAAAAAGTGCCATTAGATACGAACCTTTGAGCATGAAGCTCCCTCAAGACGATGTCAATGATGGTCAAAGCTTCTTGAGGGTTTTTAACTTGTTTACCAGCAAATAATTCTCGTAACTGGTGCATGCTAGCTAAAGTTACAAACTTTATTTGCACTTTAAATTCTCGTTCCCTGATATGATTACCCCGTATTAAACTAAAGTTTACCAACAAAGAAAGAGCAGAATATGTGAAGAAAAAGAAAAGAAAGTGCCTGGGAGTGGCTGCTCCCTCTTCCTCATCAGCCAAAATGACAGTGAACTCTTTTGATGTGAAAGGCAGCAATCCGGCCGTGTACAGGTTGCTTCCTCCATCGTAAACTGGCAGTCGCATCCCCAGCTCTGTGCTTCTATAATGTTTGACCAGCTCGGTCAGTATGTTCTTCTTCAGTTTACGAGAAGTAACTTCTGGGGTTATCTTAACCTGCAAGCTCAACAAAATACACTCAACTTTCATATTTCTATTGCCTCTTTGAAGAAATCTTCTGATCAATACTATGACTTGTTTCCATCTTACATTATAATGGCTTATGTCTGATTCAGGTATTTTGGCTAGGAAGTGGTTGGCTTTAACCAAGCATTTAGTCCCCAGCGAGCCAAAGTCTGGCCTTCTTGGAAATGTTAAGCTTTTGCAGGAAGAAGAAGAGGGAAACTCCAGATTTGGATCAAGCTCCTCTTGTTTCAGTTCTTCCATGGTAAATCCTTTCGCTCTCCTTTTTCCTTTCCTTTTCCATAAACTAGTCTTTTCATCATCCTTTGAGGCATGTAGGGATTTTAACACCATTTGAGAAGATGGTATCACATGTTTCTCTTCTGGCTCCATATGCATGTAGGGCATTTTTCTTTTCTTCTGTTAACACAGAAAGACTCGTCACTCAGCACAACACTCAACGACTTGAAAGCCGACAAAAGAAAACTTGGAGAAAATTTGTGCCGTGGCAATAAGCAACTTCCATGTTCTCAAGGTGTGGTGTTTAAAAGAAAAGCAGCAAACATGCTAGCAAGCGCAAGATAAAAGGAAAAACTATCAGAGAAAGAGAGAAAAAGAAGGTAATGGCATCATATCTCGACAGTGTCCTCTACTTATTCTCCCAAGCTCTATATATACAGTGGAATTGGAATCTAATAAGCTAAACACATTTCATCTTTCCCATCTTCGAAATTGGAGCCTTTGCACCATATCCTCCTGGTTAGTTGGCTAACCAAATCTATTTCTTTCAGAATTACAGAAAACAGTAACACATATGAACTAAAGCATATTTAGATTGGTTAAATTATGTGTTTCTGTACTAAAAAAACAATGGGTGGGGGGTTAATGTATTATTGTTGCCTTTAATATGATAGGATCGAAGTGAAGTGACTGGTTGTCGGATGTTAATGAGATCATGTGGGTCAAACATAATATTTGACCCCAACTTACACAAACCTCACTTCTTTCAGACAACTAAATTTTCTCCCATAAATGGTATGAAAAAATGAATGTTAGAAGCATAAAAAAATGAAAAAGAAAAGGAAAAGGGTTGATTAAGGGAGTGGTCCTAATGGACAACGTGTGAGGGAATGCTATTTATTCCCAGTGGTTTTTGCAGGAAGAAGAGGACAAAGTTGTAAGATGGGGAAAGAATACAAACTCTTTTCAGCGAACAAAAAGGAGCTTTAACTCATCCCAAAGCCCACCCACAGTGTCAAAAGCAGACAGGTATTAAGACAACACATAACAAAGTAAGGGTGGAAAATCAGATGCACCAAATTAACACCCCCCCCCATACTTAATTCCCCTCAGCAGAATTTCAGTCTCTTCTCATTGTTTCACTGTTCTTTACAAACCAGACACCATTAATACCCTCTGTTATAGCAGCCACACGTCAAATTTCTTCCCCACCCCCCACCCAGTGAAAGCTTGTAACTTTTTTTTCTCTCTCTCTCTCTCACTAATTTCTCCCAGGAACTGTAGCAGCTGGAAGAAGCATCCGGTTTTAGTACACTCATGGCATCATCATAAGAGAGACATGAAGAAGAAGAAGAAGAAGAACATTCAAAGGTGATTAAGCTATTATTCAAAACAATTTCCTGAGTAATGGTTAGAGGAAGAGCAGTGGGTTTGGTAGTAAGATTGTGTGTTTTGACATTTAGAATGTGTTGAACAGGGCATGAAGATGCAGGTTGTGGTGTTGGTGAAAGAAAAATGTCAAAAGAGAAAAATGAAAAGAGAGGACTGAGAAGGAGATAATTCGATCTGTCGGTATTCGATTTTTACTTTTCCCACTTCATATTTATTCGATGGCTACGGATCAGACCAAGATTCATTGACCAACACAATACGACACCCAAACTGTGTGAGAACCACAACTCACTGCTCAAGTACCACAATTCTGGATTTTGGGAAGATTCATCTTTCAATCCCCCCCTCCCCCCCCCCTCTTATTTAACTTTTCACCTCATTGGTTATGTGACCCTGTCTCCATTTATTAAAAGATTATTGAAGAGAGAAACACAGCCAGCCCCTTTATTGATGTGAAGACATTTGAATGCACAAGTACAATCATGCAAATTTGGGTTCAAGGTAGACATTGTATTATCATAAATACAAAATAAGGACATTAAGAAGTGAACTCTTACCAACCAAGGTAGACATTGTATTATCATAGACAATATCATATTGTAATGAAAGATCTAAAAAACCAGCTGGAATGGAAACAATAGTGTAACTGTCTAAACTCACTGTTAACAGATATTGTCCGCTTTGACTTGTTATGTATTGTCGTCAACCTCATAATTTTTAAAACGTAAATGTTAAGGAGAGGTCTCCACACCCTTATAGGAATGCTTCGTTCCCTTCTCCAACCGATGTGAGATCTCACAATTCACCTCCCTTTGGGACCCAGTGTTCTCGCTAGCATACCGCTTGGTGTCTAGCTCTGATACCATTTGTAACAGCTCAAACCCATCAATCACACATATTGTCCACTTTGACCCGTTACATATCGTCGTCAGCTTCACAGATATTAGAACACATATGTTTAGAAGAGGTTTCCACATCCTTGTAGGAATGCTTCATTCCCCTCTGCAACCAATGTGTTCATTTCCCTCTCCAACCGATGTAGGATCTCACAAATAGGTTTCAACTCAATGTGTTCTCCATCTAATTAAGTGTTTTGTCATCATAGTTATAGTTCAACATCTAACAAGTTAATGGTTCAAATTCAGGACAAAAATTAATTGAGTATTTTCAGTAAGATATAGTTTTTTTTAAGTACACCACAAGTTAATAGAAGTTGATCAAACCAAAATTAAAGTTAAAAGAAGATACAATCTTCTAATTTTCTTTCCTATTTCAAAAAAAAAAAAAACAACAACAAATAATTAGTTAGAGGGGTGTTTTGAGTGGCACAAAAGAAAGTCAATGCCCATACAGATATATTCACAATAAAAAAACCCAAAATGCAAAATGCAAAATGTTTTGAAAAAAGTGATGAGGAGAAGAAGGAAGTAGTGGAGGGTACAGAGATGAGAGACATTACAGAGAATGTTATTGACATCTCTATGTCAAAAAGCATAAACTAAAGTGAAAAAACAAAACAAAAACAAAAAAACACACAGCCAAAAGTGAAGGATTTTGAAAAGACATAGTATGCCCAAATTGTGTACAAATTCTCCTCACTCACTGCCTTCACTTCACCAACTCTCTCTCTCTCTCTCTCTCTCTCTCTCACATCGCCCATCACGTGTGGTGGATAAAGTTCATATGACACACCATCTGCTTCAGACCAAAAGCTCATACCTCACAACCCTTATTCATCACTCAATTCCCATGCCATAATCTCCCATATTCGTACATATTCATACCCAAAATCAATTACTCCCAACTTAATACCAATTGCTTTCCTATAAGATTTAAGGCATAAGAGAGTTTAGAACGAACCTTGAGGACTACGCCATTTGGTCAGCCATAGACTCACACTCCTTTCTCCACCTGCATCCTCATATGTATTAATTACACCTAAAAACGACTAATTATAAAGATAATCAAACCAAACTGAAATCATGCTTTCTGTGTTTGACTGCAGAGAGAAAAAAAAAGAAGAGGAAGAAGAAGAAGATGGTTTTTGGTTGGAGGTTGCAGAGGGAAAACCAAACCAAAAACTGAAGACTAAAAGAGACAACAACTTTTTCTCTTCTTTTTCTTATCTTCTTTATAAAAGATCTTGCAGGATGTGTTGGTATTAATGCCCAACCTTTGATTTGATTTGATTTTTCCGAGAAACCCAACTGTTGAAACGCTGCCAAAAGCAAGGAAACGAGAATAATGGCAATTCCAGTGGTGGAGAAACAAACCAACACCAGTTTTCCTGTTCAGTTTGCACCAAACCAGACACCCACTCTGCTAAAGCTCCAAACTTTCACCTATTTATTGCACTATCTCTAAACCCCATCTCCTACTTTCCTTTTCTTCATCCCTTTTTTATTACTTTCTCTTCTTTGCCTCTCATTCATTATACTCAATTAGTTTATTCCTTGAAATATCAGTTAAAAATAGGGCAAAAAGTAAATCAAACACGGAAGCACCTCAACATGCCCGAAGATTTCACACGCTTTAATGACATCTTGAATACAAAATTCAAATATTATGCAGTTCTTACATGCATCAACAGTGCAAAACTAACAGAATTGTTTCAATAAATAATACAGTGAATAGGGAACCAACAAGAGCTCGTTTAAGTTAGTATGTTAGCTTAAGAAGTTAGAAGAAATGGGGTTAAGGAAAAAGGGGAACTGAAGCTGGAGGAATAGAATGAGAACGTGGGGAATGGAGTTATAATGTATGGGGAACGGCGCCGTATTAATTAAGAATAATAAAAGAGAATAGAGAAAGGGAAAGGGGAAAGAAGAAACATAGAAAAACCTTGGGGGGGGG